ACCTTCAAGCCAGCAAGATGCCACCATGTCAGGATGCTTTGATGTACTTTCAAAAAAGCAATCCGTACCCATCGCTTTGGGAGAAAGCAAAAGGGCTCAGTGCAAAACCGAAAGTGTGAGGGATGCTTTAATAACCACACTTTGCACAGCGCAAGATTCAACTATGGCTTTCCACAGCCGTTCTCTTATCTCGATTAGTCATACAAATCCCACCAAACTCTTTACTGAGGCTCAACAAGTATTAGGGCCACGCGTTATCGCTTTCTGACTCCCAAGAGGAGCTGCATACAGACGAGCGGTTTTGTAAAAAGAAGGGGAAAAAAAAGGCAGGAAATATTTAGGGAAGCAAGAAAATAAAAGGGGCTCACCCCTTTGGAAGCATTGTTCTGTACGTGGCCTCATCCAACACACTTGTCAGAGAGACCAGAAGGATGGCGATTCACGGCCCCGCTCTCGCCGCAGCCCGGCTTCCTGGCTCTCACTTCCTGCTCCCCTCCCTCCCAGCCCTGTCCCATGCCACCCTGGCAAGCTGGGCTTATCCTGCTCCTCAACGTCCCTCCGATGCATAAAGTATCGCTAAAAATAGTGCTGGGAAGGGCCTTAAACGCCACGTCTGGGACAAGAGACTAAAAATAATCCTCCCTCTAAGCAGACGCCCGCTGTCACCGGGCGATGCAGGGCTCTCAGGGCCCCGAAGGGAAGCCTGCTGGAAGGGCAAGAGACGCTCCCTGCCCGTGCGTGCTCCGACGGCCCCGGCCGTTCGGCAAAGCTGATTAAAAAGGAGGAGAGGAAGAAAAATCGCCGTGCCTCGCATGGAGTTGTACGTATCTTTGTTCTGAGCGACATTCCTCTCGCCGAGCACAGCCGGCAGCAGAGCGGTCTCCCGTGCTGTAACAATGGACAATTGGAGACACACGGCTCGGAGCAAACGCTATCGCTGAATAATCCAATCGCAGCTGTCATCGTTCGTTAGCTCCAATCTGATCAGAACGAGCGAAGTTGGGGCTAAAACCCAGCTCGCCCTCTCCGTAACATTGTGTAACTCCGGCACAGCGCATCGCCCCCGATATTTCCGAATTCACGGTCTGCCCGCACGGCTCGACCTTCCTTCCCGGGCAGAGCAACGCGCTGCGAGGCGCCCGGTGACAAAAGAAACTCGGGCAAGTTTGAGCCCGGCACCCGATTTCCTGCCTAAAGAGCCCTTTTGTTCTGCTTCCCTGCAGAAATGTTAATGTTCTGCCATCATTAGGAAGCAAAACAATGGAGAAAAGCCCCACGCGCGTGCACTTCGCCGCCCCGGGGGGCGAAGCGCGGCCACACGACGCGATTAGAAGGGGAAAATGCCTACCCACGGATCGCCACAATTTTCTGTTCGCTTCACCCCAGATTAACTTCACTTGGAGCTGTGCTGCGGAGCAACCGAGCCTGGCCTCGGCGCCCCGCCTACCACACTGCTATTGGGCGAGGCGAGGAGGCCCCGCCTCCCCCGGCAGGGCTACGCCCGGCGATTGGCCCAGCCGCGTATCCATTATAGAAAGAACTTTTCCTTGCTAGCACGTTAGGTTGGCCCGCTCCGAGCACTCTGGGCGAGCGGCTTCTTAAAGGGGCAGCGCGTCGCGAGGCTCGGCCCCACGCGTGCTCCGCCGGAGCCCCCACGCGAGGCGCGGCGCCGCCCCTCCGAACAGCGCGGCGGTGTTGAGCGACACGGGAGCACGGCGAGTCGCCGCTGCGGCGAGCCCGATCGCCGTCACGCGTGGCACCGTGCGAGACGAGAGGCTCCGTGGGTTCGGGGCCCGGCGGCCGCCGCAGTTGCCCCGGGAAGCCGGCACGCCGCCCGAATTAGTAACCCGGCTAAAAATACGCGCAGAGGGCAGTTCCACACTGCGCTCCCGGTTCGAGGCGTGAGTCAGCACGGCGCAGGCAGGAAGCGGCTGCCTCCCGCTCGCGAGGTGCTGCGCGCTGCCAAAACTTTTCGTGCTTATTCAGCCTTCCCCCGGCTCGCCACATCTGCACGGAGCTGCTCGAGCTGCGACGGCCGGCAGCTTTTCCCACAGCACAGCTTCTTCGTGCTGCGCAAATAGCCGATGCTGGTGTTGTAAGGATTTTCCTACCCGTCAAATGAATACAGGAAGAGTCAAAAACAAAGCGTAACAAATATTTCACAAGCACTGATAAATCCCATTGGAGAACAAACCTGGGGTGGGCCAGAGAACCGCAACTTTCCTCGCACACCCACCAAGTACCAGCAGTTACACAATACCTACCTCACCAGCAAAGTTGCCTTATATAAAGCAGTTTCAAGTGCTTATTTCTAGGTAGCTACCAACACAAAGCTAGATGAAGCTATCATGTTGCCTGCATAAACACATCGGGGTTGGGTTGTTGCTGTACAGGGGAAAAGCTGTTCCGTCTTTCTGCTCCTTCCCACCTCTCCCCAGGCAATGTCTCCCCCACCGCACAGACACCCACCTTAACTCCCCCTGTGCACATCAACCAAGTCGAGCACAGCTCAGCACACTGCTGTTTCACAAACTCTACCAAAGAGAACACAAGCACCTTCTGAACACGTCTAATTCCCCCTTCAAACAGTCACACATGCTTTGTGCGACCTTATATTACAGGCTGATCTGTCACATCACAAGTCCAAACTGAACTGGAAAGCAGCAGTTTGAGCAGTTGTTTAGTTAAGGAGCACAAAGCATGACAAGAATGGAAATACCTTTGATAGGATTTGCCAAACTTTCCCTACAGAACCTAAAATCTGAGCTAGAAGCATCAGCTGTCAACCCTTATGCTTGAATCCAGTACTTCATAGGACTTCAAGTTACCTTGAGGGCAACCAGGAGACCATACTTACACAGCACTTATGGCCACAGCTATCAAAGCAATGAAAACCAAGCATGTATTTCATGCAAATAAAGCATACCAGCAAAGCGTCTTACAAGCATCTCAGTGACCAATCCTGGAAAGCTTCAACTCAGAGCACATTAACTTTAGACCCATAACAATAACAGCAGCAGAAGTTGCACATCTTATCAACAGAACTGCCCAGTGCTAGCAGAGAACGTGACAACTGCAAACACTGCTTTATGACTTTCAGGAGGAAAATAAAAGTGTTAACCTATAACTAAAGAAGCCTAATCACCTGGTAACTGTAACAGTGATGAGAAATCACTTATCATTAAACATCCTGCACTTGAACTCCCATTTCTGTTAATCAGGCAGCCAGTAGCTCCTTATCGCAGCACAAGGGACAAGTTTCTTCCTCCTTTCTCCCCATCCCTCCCCTCCCAGCCACACAGCCTGGCCTACTCCCTCACCACAGCTCTGGTGCTCATCAGCCCCTTCTGTGCACCTCTGGCTCACTGATCTGGCAGGAGTTTGCTCACCTCCTGATAAGCCAGAGTGTGGCTCACCACGGCATGGGGGAATGGCAAAGCAGCTTCTCCTCTGTTCAGAACTGAACTCCTCAATTTGCTCACCTAATTTCATTTTAAAGCAAACAAACAACGTTCTACTATCTCACCAGGAATGCCCCAGGAGTTATTTGCTATCAGCACTGAAGTAATAGAATCCTCCAAAAAAATCTGTGAAATGGGGAAAAAATGTAAAATCAAAACTAGGTTCACAGTCGGCCCTGTCTCATCAAACTGGAAATCGTGGATACAACACATCTGTATTTAGATGTTGTTACTTTAAATAAATTGCTACTCTAGTTATTTCTTGTGCTGAAATCTAGTGGAACTCATCATTAAAAAGCCCAATTTATAAGCTCAGTTTCTGAACACAAATAATCTATTTCCTCTTCAAACTCAAGACACTACACAGGAAGTGCAGAAACATCATTTTAAGGTCTAGGCTGAAGTTAAGCCTTCGTTACTCTTACAGCATCTGTAGTAATGCAGAAGAAAATAAACCAGCAGATTGCAGCTGCAAGTACACTAAACAGGGAAGCTTTGACAGCAGTATAAAAGAGATTCGGTTTGCTGCCACTGAACTTTGCTCTGAGGACAACAAGAAGAAAGCACCTGACTCTCATTGACTACTGTAATCACAGAACGGCTAAAAGCCCATTTGTTCTGCAATCTTAAATATACAGAAGACAGTAAGTTTGGAGGACTTGACAGCTCAAGAGATCAACACCAGAGCCTTCCATCTTTAAGTCACCAGTTCCAAGAGAGACCAGAATAGTAGTGATCAAAAGCCGTGTGCGAAGGCTGTGGGGGATTAGATACAGAGATGGTTACTTGCTATCCGATTCCCAGATCACTGCATCACAGAAACTTTCTTCACATTTTGCACCTGTTTTCCACAGGTCACGAATACCCAGGACTTCTGGATTTTATACATGTTAATAAGTAGCAAAGCAGTAGAAGTGCAGCTTTGACACACTGAGCTTGAATTGTAAAAGAGGACTTTACCCTCCTGTTGTCAACTGTGTCAGTGATACAGCATGCGCTGGTTTTGTAAAAACAACCATACCTGTCTTTTAGTTTTATTTGAGATACTTTTAAAATTAAAAAGTTGTTATAATACTTGTTTGTAAGCTGCCGTTCTCAAACTTGCTGCATAAGAGGTCTTTGCAAATACATCAGTTTAAAAGCACACAAGCATAGGAATTTCAGAACTTTGGCATTTGACGGATGATTTCAAAAGTTAGCAGTTTTACTAAACTAAACAACATGTCTACATAAGGACCTGAAAAAAACACCCCTGCATGATGAAAAACACTCTTTTTCATGTTCTTATGCATTCTTCAGCAAACCATTGTGCAGCCTCTAGAGAGTCAGGCAGTCAGGGATAGCTTCTTTCCAACTTGGTTTTAGTTTAAAGAGCTCGCAGAAATGCCTGGAAATGCAAGGCAGGATGGGCAAGATGAAAACAGGTTCAGAGTGTATGTTGACTGAAGGTTCTGGAGCGGAGGTTCATTGCCCTTGTATGAATAACACTACTGAAAGTGATCTCCTGCACTACCCCAGCAATATAAAGCTCCATAGCTCTTGGTAGCATACTGCTTCCTGAGAATAATGTTGCTGATAGCAAGACAAAGTCCTAGAAACTTCACTGTCCTAAGCAGTAACTAAGGAGGCCCATGCATACAAAGAATGCAACTTGGTACCCCAGGAGCCTATGGAGCACAACATACCAGACTGATGAGATTGCAGCAGTCTTGAAGAACTTCCTGAGGTTTCCCTTGCTGCTTTCGATCCAAGATGTACCACTGCACAGCAATAATCAAACCTGGAAGGAACAGAGAGGTGCACATGGTAAATATCAGGCCTCCAGCAGAGCGGGGCAGTAGTTGCCTGGACAGCCACAGACCCTGCAGTTCAAATAGCTATTTCAGATCACTCACAGGTGAGCTACCATGAGAACTTACTGAAGTTTATCCACATGTTACACTCCAACTGCTTCCTCCTGTCTAGGGAACAAGCCAGTAAGTGAACAGCTTTGATTATTATTTTTTTTAATGTTTTTCCTTCTCTTTCCCTTTTGCTCCTCTCTTATCTCCTCATGTACAAGCTGCACAGCCACAATTGTTCTCAATCACCCAGCAGCTGCCATGCTGATATTATTAAGTTTTTTTTTTTAATATTTTTTTAAGATCATAACAAGGAATTACATCTTGTACGGACGCACAGCTGAAGGCTGCAGCATGAGATGCCACAAAACTCATTTCAGAGTACCTGAGAAAGAATCCAAAAAGGATTTGGAAAGATTTTTCCTTGTCGTCGGGTAACTCTCAGGTGGGAAAAAAAAATAATAAAGCCAGTTTCCACTTAATTCAGCATGCTTCACCTGCATCTGTACATAATCTATAATACTCTCTGCAGCTTAAATTGAGTATGTTGAGTACAAGTCCAAGCCTATTCAGTACTTAATTAAAAAGGGAGCTGTACAACTATTAGCTGACAAGAAAATGGAGCCAGGAGTTTGGGTACTTCTAATCCCCTCCGAAATCAAACTGATTAATACAGCTGTTACAGAAGGACACACTCTTACAGAAACAGGGATTACCTTTATCTGTAACCATGGCAACTTTTCACTAGTTTATGTCAGTGCTGCTCTCCTGATAACTTGCTGCTATCTCTTTCAGGCTATTTGTACAAGGTTTTGTATGCACCATCCGAGACCGTGAAATAACAAGAAGCTGAAATGTAAACTTGCATTCTTAGATCACTCTCTCCAAGGTGTATTATGAAACACAATGTTTGTCATCCGTGTCAACAACACACGATTAGGTAAGTTGATTTTAATCTGTTATTATTTTAATGATTCCTTGTTTTGTAAGGCAAAAGCTATTTTAAGAGGTATCCTCAGAAGCACACGCAGGATAGAGGAAATCCTTCCCTGCTGAAGACTCTATCAGGAAAGCAATAAAATCAAGGAGTGCTGCCACTGATGTGTCAGCTTTGGTACTCAGCATCACAAGAAACAAAAAAAAAAAAAAAAAAAACAAGCAGGAACACGCTGTTATTTTGGCCAGAACAAATATATTATGGATGAGGCCAGAGCCAGGCCCCTTGTTCGAGGCTGGGCAGTAATTAATATGAAGAACAGGTGTACGTACTGCAACAGCACATAAAGGAACCAGGCAGAACTCAAAGAGCAAAGTGACAGAAGTTAAAGCAGACACGGGAAAGACAGCAAGGAAGGAACTAGCAGATTCGCTTCCCCCAGCTGCTGAGTTACCATTATCAACAGAGGAGGACAAGCTTTCTGCAAAAAGAATCGTTTCAGAGGACATCAAGCCAAATCACTTGCTTGGAAGCAGGAGGAGGAAAAGAGCAGCTGCTTCCCCCCCCCCCCCCTTAAAGTTCATAGGGCAGCTGACAGCGCTGCACCCTTCCGCGCAGCGCACACACTTTGGCACAGCTGATGGAGCGCGGAGCCTCAGAAAAACCTCTTAACTCCAGTAACTCTTATGCAATGCCCCCCCCGTGCGGGACAAGCCCGGACAGCCACCCAGGGAACGGACTTCAGAACGGCACGGAGCACCTCGGGGCAGCTCCCTTATCCGCCCAAGGACACGCGTACAAACACCTCTGCCCCGGGACGGCTCTGCGCACGCAGCCCAGCGGCCGCGGGAGGGGCGGGGGAGGAAGGAACGACCAAAAAAGGCAGAAAAGCAGCCCCGAACACGGCGGGGAAACAGAACAGAACGCAGCAGCTCAGCGCCGAACCGCCGCCCCCACCCGCAGCCACCGCCGGTGCCGCCGCCCCGCTCTCACCTGCTCCTGCTGCTCCCAGCCCCGCTCGCTCCTCGCCAAACTTTTTCTCCCCTTTCTCCGTGTTTCCTTGCCCCGAGAGTGACGCGGGCGGGCGCTGATTGGAGGAGCCGCCGAAGGAAGGCCTGGAGGAAAGGGGGCGGAGCCGGGCCCGCCGCTAATTAGCGCAAGGAGACGGCGGCGACGTGAACCGCAGAATGGTGTTTAAAGGGACCGCGGCCCGTCCCGTGCGTTGTGTCCTTGTGAGCTGCCTGGGGCGCTGAGTCTCCGCTTTAGGTTCTGTCACGACCTACGATACGTCACACGACAGTGCTTTCTGTGTGGCAATACCGCAGCTCACGTATTGCACCTGCACTACAGCCTGACATTGCTGCACCTGCGACGGGGTCGTGGGGTGACATTGAAGGGCGATGAGCGACTCTGTGGCTGTTAGCAGGCGGGGGGGAGGACGGGATTCCAGAGGGATGAAACAAAGCAAATAAAAGAGGAATTTTATCTGTTGGGCCGAGACCGGGGGAGCTGTAAGGGAGGTCAGAGCAGCAGGTGAGATGAGTCTGGGAGGAGAAATCCCGCTGTTGTGAAGCTCCAGGGAGTGAGACAGGGCAGGGAGGTGGGCAAAACATTTCCATTTCTTATCAGGATATTTAACAATGTTATGGAATGCGTGCTTGTTTTAGGGCAGAGGAATTTGAGACTATTCTAAGATAGGCACTGCAGGAGGACACGGGGTGTCAGCAAAAAGAAAGTCTCAGAAGAGACGTTCCATCGGTATGAGCTTCTCACTGCCTACAGTGTGAGCCCAGCAGGCAGACCCGTAAACCTGGCAAAGCACTGAATGGCACGAAGACCCTTAATTATTATTGTTTTTTTAATATCTGAATTTGGATCAACACCAGAAAATGCTTCTGCGACCAGCGTGGAAATGCTAACATAGCTTTATAGCTATTTTGGTAGAGATTATTCACACTTGGCTGCCTTTGCTGATGCAATACGTCTTCCAAGCGGCAGGTTGCACGAGCAGAAGATGACCTGCATCTCGTGTGGGTATCACAGCATTCCCCACAGCATTATTTGGAGTGCTTTCATGGCCTTGGCAGTAATCACAAAGAGCTGTGGGGAGTGATGATCACATTCCTCCAAGCCTCTCCGTGGTCGCCTCTTTTATATAGTTTTCTTATAAAGAAAACATAAAACCCCTTGGGTTCATCTGAAACTACTTTATTTGTGCCAGGTTTCATCTCACTGTTAGAGATACAGAGGCTTACTAGAGGGATAGAACACACTCTGTCTGCTTAGGGAAAGGCCAGCTGATTCTTCTGCAGTTGTGAGCAATCAACACAACAGCTGGCAGGGAATAAAAAGGGAAATGCAGACAGTGAAAGAGATGGATACCTCCTGCCAGGAGATATTGACCAGCAACACATGGTGGAACAAATGTTAAGTTATGGCATCAAATGTCAAGGGGGAGCAGCAGAATGTTCAGATGTGATCTTGCTTGATTGCGAATGAAGCTCGTTGATTTTCTGACGTGCCAGAACGAGAAGGCTTAGTCACAGAAATGCTGGAGTAAGTGGATTTCTTGAAACGTTCAGAATTGGTGTTTGGTGTGGTCAGAAGCCACAACTCAAAAGAGGCAAACAAGTGGAAAATAGGGAACAGAGAGTCGCGTGTCATCTGCAGAAGGGGCTGTAGTCAAACTGTTAGTGAAAAAGGTGGCTGAGATAATTGGGTAACGGGATGCAGGTTAAAAAGTGAATCTTGAGCAACTGCGAGTAGAAGATGTATTAATGAAATAGAGTTCAATTTTCTCATTTGAAGACCTCAAGATTGCGAGGCCAAAAAAATAAGCGTTGTTTGGAAAGAGGGAAGCATCTGATCAGAGAAATGAGTAAAGCAGAGAAAGACCTCCTGGATTTGGAAGGGATCAGAAATCAGCTAAAGAGGATGGAAGGTTACATGTGGCCAGTAAATGAAAACAAAAGGCTGTTTTTTACAGAGCACAGAAAAGAAGTTAAAGGCTATTTATCCTCCTCAAGTTGATGGTAGCAATAGCTTTGATTTTAAAGAGTACACAAGTGTTAGCAGGACATATTGTCACTAAAAGCACATGGAGCTTGATAGGCAGTGCATGGAGGTGAACATCCCAACAACCTCATTCTATTAGACATGATTTTGCTGTGAAAGAATAGTCAAAAAGAAGCTCCAGGCTCCACACTTTCAAGTGGGGCTTCTTAGTGCAAGCTGAAACACCAAAGATGGGCATGAAAGGTTCTCAGGTCTGTGGCGATTTGATGATGTATGGGAAGGTGGAACAACCCATGAACATTATTACCTCATTTACAGCATCACAGCTGAAACAGCATTTAATCTCCTTGGCCTGCATTATTTAGATGTTTGTTGCATTTTAAGGTTCCTGTTACCTTGATACTTTGGCACAATTTATTTCCATAATCTTAAGGGCCCTCTGCCTCTCTAGAAAACATATGCAAAAAAAATTCTGAAATAAGTTTCTTCTAACTTTTACTCCCTTCTTCCCATTATATTCAATCTATCCACCAGCATATAGGACCTTTTCCTTTGGTTCCTGTTATGTATCCTTCTGCTATAGCAGCTTGTTATTTCTTCTTTTGCTAAAATTTTGGGAATCACTTGAGGAATCTTAGTAACGTATTCATTTTGAGATTCTTCAGAGACAGTAAACAGAAAGTCTCTTCTTCATTTCAGTGGGCTTTGGATCAGGTGTTCAGCGTTAGCATCATTTCAGTTCTTATAACCTAGTTGTTTGGGGCCCAGCATGCAGCCCCTGAGACTGCCGAGAATTTCACTGTGGCATTAATGAGAGAGGAATCAGCCTCTGCTTCCTGAGAGACAGCCTATACAAATCCAAAATAAATAACCCCCAAACTTTCTTGAACAGCTGAGTCTCAAATGAGATTTGATTTCATTCTGAATCTCGATGATTATCTTTCTGAGGTCACCCTGACCTCTGTTCCATTCCATACACTAATGGGATGAGTTGGAGTTTGTTATCCAAACCTACTGGAAATTTGGTCCTATGGTCCTTTGGCAGCGTTCTTTAATCAGCAGCAATGCCAGCTCCCTCTTTGAATGCACACATTCAGAGATTTGTAGAATTCGAGTCCAAATCCTGCTTGTATTTGCAAGCCCAGAATGCCATTGACTTCAAGGGGGTTGCAGGAGCTTAGCTAACAGCCAAAATTGGCCCAAGATTTTCAGATTCCCTCATGCTTCTGTTTATATGGTGTTATCATCAAGAACTAAGAGCAAACTTTATGCTGCATTTCACTTTTATATTACATAAAGGGTGTTTACTCTGCTGATGTTATATAGTTTGCAAGAAAGATGCACATATAAGAATTAAAAAAAATTAAAACCAACACTGATTACCATTAGGATTTCCATCTTTCAGTGTGCATTTTCCACAACAACCCAGAGATTTCTCACCAGGAAAATGCAGAAATGAAAATCCCATTCCTTGGCATTTCTCTACGGTATTCTGGAGTCTTACTCATCCAACCTGTGATTAAATGGTCAGTAGAAAATCAATCTAATAGTGTAAAAAAAGTTAAATGCTGTGCTTTCATTCTCTGTGTGCTGGTTTCCCAATCAGATTCCCTCCCTGAAAAATCTTCATGTTTTTGTGCCTCTCAAGGGGCGGGAGCAGAAAACACACTGTGGGGAAAGCTGAATGGCCACAAAGGACTACAGGAGGAAACAAAGGTAAAGACTGAGCAAGAACGGATCAAACCTGTGAAAGCAAGTAGATGGGATGCCCAGCAAAGCCCATCTGACTGCCAGGCAGCCAGGGCAGCACATCTGCCATCACAGCACTGCCTCAGAGCCAGCTGCCTACTGGCACTTGGAGCTGCGGAGGGGACCTTGCAGCAAAGTGACTGCTGAGCGCCTTACTTGGACGGGGCACAGCGGAGGATGGAGATGCTGCACAGAGCCCTGCCTGCTCAGCATTTTCCAAAGTGAGGCAGATTGTTTTGCCACACCATTACAAATCTGGGAGCCTCCTTCTAGATAGTCCTGTTTGGAAATCTGGGCTGGGGCCTTTTAAAGACTTAGCAACTCCCTGGTTAAGCTTTTAATATCCACATTAAATAGATCACTGAGCGTGTCCTGGTATTCAGGAGAACAGTGGGCCATTCTTGGCTAACGAGTAACTTCTACACAAAGAAATTATTTGGTACCTCTGTGCTTTTTCTCCTCCTGCTTTGTCTGTGCATAGTGCAGTCTTTGAGGGAGGGACTGGTCCTTAACACAGCAAGCACCAGCTTCCTCTGTGCTCCTCAGTCCTCCCTTCACCAGCAGCAGCCTCTCAACCCAAGGGCTTCTGCATAGGCTTGACTTTCACCCCGCTGTTCTACAGCATTTTATTATTAATCACTATTTAAACTTCAAATCTGGAGCCCTAAATTCTGTAATGCTAAATTATCCATATTCCATGATTGCTAAATCCTTGCCCAAACAGGTGACTGGACAGGATGCCCCATTGCTCCAGCAGCCCAGCACTAAGCTGTGAGTTTAAAGAGCTCCTCTAGCAGGGCAGCAGCATTCTTTCAACCACCAGGAATCAAAAGCCTCCATGCACACAAGAAAGCTGCCTGCCTCAGTTCTGGTCCTCACAATTCAAGGGGAGCAAAGCTGCTGATCCCTTCGAAGCATTTAAAGTCGGCAGAGATGAGTGCATCCCTGGGGCTGCACTTGGCCAATTTTTGCTTTTGCAATTTTTGTTTGCCTTCGCTTCACGAAGCAGAGCTCTTAGCTAATCATGTGTCACTGGACTTCTGGATTTAGAGACAAAGAAGTGGCTGGCCTGCTCTGTGCAAATAGCTTTGGTGCTTGGCCACAGCGGGGCATCTGGAAAGCAAACAGCACATTTGACATGGCTGTCAAGGATCGAGATACAAGTGGTACAAATGGCAGAAGTGTCTGTCCATCCATCTACCTGCCTGTTCAGGAATGCCAAGAGCACCAGCCTACGGCAGGGCTGACACTCTTGTTTGTGTCGTTCCTGTCCATCTGACCTTGCTGTACCAGACAGGCTATTTGTCAGTGCCAGAGAAATCTGCCACAACAACAGAGGGAATATCTGGTGTCAGTATCCTCCAGCTTCTTGATGGAAATATCTCATTAGAGAAACTAAACCAGTGCTTTGATTGCTCGGAAGGAAGCCATTTGTTTTGCAGAAATCTCCGAGCTGTTATTCACTTCTTGTAAAACTATAATGCCTCAAGTCTTATTCTAAAGCAGCCTTGGATAGCTGGAATGACTTGAAGTTTGCAACCAATAAAAAAATTTTACAGCAAAGCAGAGCTGATCAGTGCTTCCTAAGTGCAGTAATTAATCTTTTCTGTCAAAATGTCATCAAATTTTGCTGGATTTAAGAATAACAAAATGTTTTATTGGAGAAAGTAATAAAACAGGACATTTCCATGGCTGCAGGGATGTTTCGAATGCGTTTGACATTTGTATCTTTTCCTGAGAAAATTTGGAGCTGAAACCCTTAATACACCTAGAGCAGGCAGTTCGTCCTGGAGCAGCCAGGTATTTTGCCACAGTCAGCTTGGAGCTGCCTCAGACTTTGGCAGAGGACACCAAATGTGAAGGGGATGGCTGCTGTGTTGGTGTCCTACCTGGGGAAAGAAGCCTGTGGACTTGGCATATTGCAGCTGTAGCCCATGTGAGGACACAACTGGAGAGTCACAATACTAGAGACCTTTCCACCTCATTCCTATCTCTGCTACATTTTGTAAAACTAGATCTGGGTCACTCCCATAATGTTAAATTTACTTTGATCTGAAGAAATTCTGGTGCCCAGTTCCCTTTATTACCTCTTAACATCTTGTGCACTGTACAGAACAAACTAAAAACACATACCAGCAACTTATCAGCGTCACACAGAAAGTGCCCGGATGCTCTTCCAGAGCAGAAGGTTGGGGATTTGGATCATGGATGAGTCAAAAGGTGAAGAGAGGCTTTGTCTTAGCATCACTCTCCCAAGAACACTCACACTACCTATAGACAGCTCAGCTAATGCTTCTTAATGTGCGGCCGTCAATGGAAGCTTCAGCCATCTGCGATTCCTGCTTTCTTTCCCACAATTCGTTCTCTGTCCATCTTTCTCCCTCTCTGCTGCTCGCTTCCCCCTCTCCTGCTGCCCTGCAGAGTGTTTAGTGCTGGGTAGTGGGATTATGACTTACCAATAATCCAGAAGATTATGACGTCAGAGCACTCCATCACATCCATTCAGCCTTTTCTGCTTTTTTCCCCTCATAAGATAAAGAGGAAAGTCAGACCATTAGAACACACACATTCTCCCAGCCTCTCCTGTGGCATCACTGCTTCCCTGCTTACATTTTTCCCTTTGCCTCTTGTGGACACGTTGGTCAAAATATACGTCACACTGTGTGCACACCGACAAAATGCATCACCGTGTGTCGGCATGAGTTTCGTATGCACAAAATTTTGTGACACAGAGCTTCTTGTGCTGATCATAGACATCATAACTTTTCGGTTTGCTCGAATGCATTTCATAGCTTTCTGTTTAAAAATAGGGGAGGGGAATTTTATCCCCTTTTTTAACCATCTTTAAAGTTTGTGAGATATTTGTGCCGTGTGTTCCTCCTCAGTCCTTCAGTCTTCATAATGACTTCATGCTATGGTCTTATTTTTGCAGTAATGGCCAATTGACAATATTCTGACATTTTACAGGCTTGCAAAATTCTCCTTCCTTCGGGAAACTGCTAATTATCAGAATTGCCACAACAAACTAATCCTGCAGAAAGAGGGCAAGGCACCGCAGTACAGACCTCAGTCATGAGGAAGTTGGAATGTGCAAGTAATTCATATTTTTCACAAGTATTGCTTTATAAAACCTACCTTACATTGTGCTTTGCTCTCTTATGTAGTGCTCTCAGGAACCTGCGTGGCAATATTCACCTTACCTGTTTTCTTGTCTTTACTAGTACAAAATAATATTTATACACACCACATCGAGTTCACTAGCACTTGCTATGGATTATGGTTAACATACTGCAGTTAATTTGCTGGCATACCTAATTATACAACTGAATACATCCAGCATTAAGTTATATCTACCTGACAGACATTGATGTGGCTGTTAAACAACACAGAAGCACCCAAGCTACCTTTAAATGAAGCTCAGGCACTGCTACCAGCTTAGCCACACCGAGCCACATGCACTGTAAAACCAGTCAGAATAACCCCATAAATATCTGAGTTCCCAGCCTGTGCCAAGCCCTGGGTTACAAAACCAGAATGCTACCAGTAAGCAGTTGGGAGGAAGGGATAGTCACCCAGCTCAGAATCCAGATGGGCTCATTTACAGTGCTGGCAGAGATGTGCTGGGGTCTGAGATGCTGGGCTATGTACTGCAGTATGAGACACTCAACCTTTTGTGCTACTTTTATGCTGGTGTCAATAATGTCCAGTAAAAAAACACTGGGGGAAGCACTGATCATTGGAAGCACCACAATGAAATGTGCTGGAGCCCTTGCTCTTGGAAGGGAGGAACTGGGAGAATTACCAGCCATAAAACAGAAAGCTATCTGATAACAAAACGTCCCAGTGTAGTTCAGAATCAATATTAAGTCACAGGTAGATCAGAGAGAGCAAAGCAACAAGCAAAACAGAAAGTCATAAACCTTGAAGACCTGTGTATTGGTCCATATCTAACAACAAAAGTTACCTTTTCCTGTATAGCATATGATTTCTGGATGCCACAGGACAAAAGAGGCATAACCTCACCACAGTACATAGTGAGCCTTTCTAGCACACTTAGGGCAGGTTTAATACAAGGGCAAGTATTTACACTCTTCATATTCTGCGGGAAAATTGATTGTTTGCATTGGCATCACATGTAAGAAGTATTTCAGTGGGATCAGGATTGATTCTGCTCCTGAGAAATAGGATCCTGCTAACATCTGGGGGAATATTTGAGTAAGATTTCTAAGGGGTCAGATACTGTGAAAGACTTGACAACAAGGAGTAACTGCACGCGAGCTTTACTCTTTTAGCAAAGCAGAGCAGTTATCAGACACACATGGGTTGTGGAAGGATGGGGTTTTGATGTGAAGGGTCTAATACAGAGTTACAAAGATGGACAAAGATGGGGAGCACTGGCTGGGCACATTATTCCTTACTGTATCGCACATGTTAAATAAAATAAGGCCCAGAGGGAAGCACTGGAGAGTAGTGGAATTTAGGAAGACATCAATGCTTTGCTGGCTAAGTCAAGTATCAAGTGATGCATTTTTATGGATGGGTTTTTTTATGCATGACTTCCTCCTACTGGCAGGGTGATGACTAAGGACAGATCTGAACAAATAACACTGACCAGTTCTGTGCACAGACACGAACCTTCCCTGGCTGCAGTTGATCCCTTCCCTGGCTGCTACTTTTATGGCCTTGAATACACCAGAGAATCAACACTTCAGCTTTGCAGCACTCTTTGTCATGTCAGGGTAATTAAAAGGATGCCACTGCACCTGGAAGAACTATAAAAATGTCCTTATAAAAGCCTCAACAGTATTTAATATTTTATTCATTGCGATGTTGTTGTGTTTTGCCTGCAGTAAAACAGCCGCAAGGAAGCGAGGCACTACAGCCAAAGGCAAGCAAACATTTTCTCATCAACACGTTACTTGAGCTCAAAGGTTTTTTTGCCTTCCTATTTTGAATCCTTGCATCTAACAACCTTCCTGCTTTCCAGAAAGAAAGAAAATTACTTCGCTAGAAGCAAGAAACTCGGCAGGGTTTAAGCTTCCATTCCTTTCAAATGTGTGGAAAGGCCTCAAAACTTTACTTCCCAGGGAAATATTTTTCATCTTTTGGTCTCACAATGCCTGAACTGCCTAGCATATAACATTCTCTTCTGTCAGTGACTCAAGACCCAAAAGGAGAAAAAGTTTAATATATACAAAAGGACATTGATATTTGTTTTACAGAAGGTATTGCAAGCCAAGCTGCACAAGCATAGACATAGCTATTAAGGGAAGATTATGAAGTTGCCAACACAACATGTTCAAAGCCACACAATTGGTTTCCAAAATACAGGTTCAGTATGTTCTCATTTGTCTACACTTCTTGATATGCTGGGAAATCATCTGTTATCAGCCTTGTTTTATAAGCATGGAGGCTGGAAACTTTGGTTGAAATTCTTAGGTGATAAGAACTCCAGAACACAGATTCCAGAAAATCACCACCAAGCCACACGTCCTGCAGTAGAACTACACATTTTGGCACCATTCACAAATGAAGTGATGTTCCCATACATGAAGTTCCCCGTAAGCACACTGTTTTCCCATCCACCAACCTTGTGTCAGAGAAAAAGGACTCTTTGCTTAAGATTTACAGACATCTTGCAGCACAAAGGGAAGCAAAAGCAGGCTGGGACATCAAGAAGTCCCCACTACATTCTGCATACGCTCAGCTCATACATACATACATACACACAGGATGTCTGATTCATCCTAATTCCTGAATGTAAGCAGAGGAGTCCCAGGTGGAGATTGTGCCAAGAGTGCTATAAGCACCATGACTAACATCCATCATATGTAGTTTGTTTTCCCATATATTTTTTTTTTCTTTCCAGGGGAAGGACTGCATGCCTTGGCAGATACCATTGTATTTTTGGATACGAAGAGCTCTAAACTCTAGGAACTGCATCCAGCACAGGAAGCTCAGAGTGGTGATGTTTGAGACAGCAATAAGTTCCCAAGGGAATGAATTACTACTCTTGGAGACTTGGATGGAGTCTTTCACCCACCTGGCTGAGCTGCACACTCATTTTGCAGCATCTTGTTTGGCCAAGAGCACGGCTGCCAGCCCGTTAATTAGTCTGAATGGTGAGGTATGCCAAGCTCAGCCTTTCTAGCATCTTGCTATAAGGCTCAGATTTCATCAAGGGAAGGAAAATTAGAGAAAGCTTGGAAGAACAACATTAAGAACCTGGTCTAGTGGGAGGTGTCCCTGTGTACAGCAGGGGGGTTTGGAAATAGATGATCTTAAAGGTCCCTTCCAACCCAAACCATTCTATGATTCTTAAAATGCAATCAACCTAATTGCACCAAGCCAAGTAAAGGCAAAAAGAGACGAATGTGCCAAGCCAAAGCCAAACCCTTGGCACATTCAGCCACATGCTGAAGGCACAGACTCTGGGACATTCAGCCCTATTGTGACTTTTGTCCAACACCAATCCACTGACACATTCTAAAAAACAAAGTCCTAGCAAAAGCTATCTATGCTTTCTTAAAGAAGTCCTATATGTCCAAACATGGAGTTATTTCGTTGTCGTGAAAAAATCAAACCCCACGTTTAGGATGGAAAAGGTAAATCACTCACTTGGTTTCACTGAGTGCTTTCAGCAACAGAACCAGTGTTGGCCATTCTGATCATTTTACTGTAAGTGTTTCAGTAAACAACTAAAAAAAAGAAAGAAGAAAAAAGGCACTGCGTGTAGCTCATGAAAAACAGGTGCCCTGAGTTTCTAGCCTTCGTGGGTGTGCCTTAACTTTAGAAAGCCCAAAGGCAAATAGAAAACATGCATTTTATTGTTTTTGATCATCCTTGTGATTTTAAGTCATGCATGACTTTTCTAGGAGGCCTGACTCACAGCATTCTAATATGCTCATATTGGGTTGCAGCATCCCACAAAAAATGAAAACAACTGTAAGAGCTGTAGGGAGATGCCTACCCAGGTGAGAGAGGCTCAGGGCAGCCCAGTAGGCAACAAACACTCAGCATTTGCCAGTGTTTGCAGTTTCATACCCACACCTGGCAGTTGGAGCCCAGCACTCCTGGTGTTTATGGGAACAGAGAAAGTTAACAAAGAGCAAGAAGAGGCAAGGAATTCCTGCCTAATGCAAAGATAGGTGAAAGTTTATCCTGGGAAAAAACAGACTGAATCTCTAAGAGCTATCAATGTGTTAATGAAAGGTTGGGACAACAGAGTTTGTATTGCAGAGCTGGTAACAAGAGATTCTTGGTTTCGTTCTGATTTTGCCAGTGACTCACAGAGCAGCATTAGGCTTCTTCACTTCTCACTTCAGAGTGGGTTTGACTTAACTGTAGACCCAGATGCTGTCACATTTACTCATGTTGAATAATACTTTCTTCCCTGGTGACACTATTTATGAAGTAAGAAGCCCCAAAAAACGTGAATGAGAATTGCTGCAGAAACAAGGAGATATGATGCATCTTCAGCACAAAGATGC